TGTGTGTGTGTGTGTGTTTGTGTTTGTATTCGTGTGTGTGTGTGTGTGTGTGTGTGTGTGTGTGTGTGTGTTTGTGTTCGTGTGTGGGTTCTTGTGTTTGTGTTTGTGTGTGTGTGTGTGTGTGTTCGTGTGTGTGTGTGTGTGTTGTGTTGTAGAGAGGCGGAGTATGAGCAGAGGGAGGAGGACTTACGGAGAACTCTGGAGGAGAGAGAGGCCAAGTATAAAACTCAGATAGAGGATCTGCAGCGCAGGGTGAGAACACACTTCATTTATCAGCGGCAGCAGAAATGAATTCGCACATAAAGCTTTCATGCTTTCTCTGATTCCTACCTGTCAATCTGTCTCTGTGTGTAGCTGGCAAAGCTTGAGTCTGGCAGCGGTCGTCATGAGTCTCCACTGTCGGGCAGTAAGTCTGCAGATTCAATTCTGCTGGGTGAGTTAAAGATCTCAATGCTTCTTAATGGCTGTCTAAATCCAAGCAGGATTAATTGATTGTGATATCATGCTGAGCCCAGACTGAAGTTATAAGATGCGAAAACCAGTTGGGCTCAGTCATAGAAACATAAAAACTGCTGCAGAGAGGAACAGCAACATGAAATATATGCATAATTATGCTAAATAAGCATGCAGTTGACTTTTCACATATAAAATAGTTAACTCCCGGGTCATTTTAATCCTGAATTAACTGGTTGGATTTCTCAATTGGTTATTATTCAAGTGTAGTCATGTTTTAAAACACTAGGCTGGTGTTTGTATTGGCATATACTGACAATGTTTTTTTTTCATTACATCATGTCTGTGAGAAAAAGCATCCTTGAGAGGAAGCATCCCTTCTTTTAATAACTGCTTGTACATATCTTACCACATTAATCAATAATATTGTTTCTTCTACAACAGTATTATTATGCAACAGTGTTTACTGATGCTGTTTCTTTAGATGCAGAAACTAAACCCAGCACAGGAAACTATACCAAGTGCCACTCTTGTTAAAACCAACAATGGCAAACAAAATTAACCAATGAAACTTGGTCTGAAGTAAGCTAACATAGCCAATTTTTGAGTAGGCCTGAGAGAAAGCAGGTAGTTACGTCTCCAGATGGTCCATTATCCATTGTCAGTTGCATAGAGATAAATCATAAATAAACACATAATAAACACTGTTCACAAAGAGGTCAGAAGAAGCTGTGACTACAGCGAATTCACTTGACCAACTTGAAGATGAGCAGTAATGCATACAGTTGCAGAGCTTTCAAAGGATCTCTCAGTCAGTTAAGCATGCATTGTTCTCCAGGAGCGGACTGGAGCGAGGTGGTTCCTGAGACGGAGCGTTTGGACACCAGCGCCCATCGTGCAAAGGCCCAGCTGGCCCAGAGATCCAAACGGCAGCCACCGTCCCGCAGTAAACTCAAAGAGACGCTCAGCTCGCCAGCGAGAAGCCCACAGGTCGCACAGAGCTCAAGAAATTCATGAGCAATTGACTGCTGTAAAAAATCCAATGCATCAGTTTTGATGTTTAACATTGTATCTAAATGATACGTTTAAAAACAGGAGCTAATAGGGCTGCTAATATTGCTATTGTCGATTGTTGCTCTTGATATTGTAATAATTATTAATGTTGATTAATAGAATACATACAAAAACTTTTTTGTGTTTTGTGTCTGCATTTTGGGGAAACGGCTCATATATTCTAGCAAAAACCTTTGTTATAATCACTGAAGTTACCAAATGAATGTTTTATTTACATTGCATCTATGTCGTAACAATAACTCAGCGCTGACTAATCTAAGCGTCTCTGATTGGCCATTGCATTCCTAAGCTCAACGGAAATGTGTGTGATTGGTTACAAGTCTCAACGCTGCAAAGAAAATCATCAGCTTGTTTCCTCAAGGCGGAAAAAAAAAAGACTGGTATTACTATACTTCTGGCAGGGTCAGAAATGAACTTTTTGCCCCCTGGAAATGATTTCCTGGGGCATTTTTTACATTTGTGAGGCCAATTTTTATCATCACGTAAATAATTGTATGTGTTATCTCGAATGTCAAATACTTCAATTTAACCAATTACTTCAATCAATCAAAATACTTTAAACTGTTGCCAATAACAATTGACTGTTTAACATTGTATCTAAATGATACGTTTAACAACAGGAGCTAATAGGGCTGCTAATATTGCTATTGTCGATTGTTGCTCTTGATATTGTAATAATTATTAATGTTGATTAATAGAATACATACAAAAACTTTTTTGTGTTTTGTGTCTGCATTTTGTCGAAACGGCTCATATATTCTAGCAAAAACCTTTGTTATAATCAATGAAGTTACCAAATTAATGTTTTATTTACATTGCATCTATGTCGTAACAATAACTCAGCGCTGACTAATCTAAGAGTCTCTGATTGGCCATTGCATTCCTAAGCTCAACGGAAATGTGTGTGATCGGTTACAAGTCTCAACGCTGCAAAGAAAACAATGCGTAAAAAGCTATCTTGTTGCAGTGTGCGCGGATCAAAATATAATTCTGCGAATAGACACTTTTCATTCATTTTCACATTTCTTTTTTTTAAAATAAATTGCAACAGCCGCAATCTATTGTTTAATTGTGCAGGGGCAATTTTTGCCCCTTTATATTAAATTTGTGGGGCATTTTTATTCATTTGACGTTAGTTGTCAATATGAAAGCTCTTTTTTTACAATCTGGTTCTCTGTTAGGAATGTCCCATTTACTTGTTTTTTGCAAGCAAAAGTTGAAGGCAAGCTGTGTCATAGATTAGTTAAAGTCACGTGCATCAAAAGGTCCAGCTAAACAAATAAAAAAGGTGCCATTGGAATAAGTATCTATAGGCTGGTAAAATGCTTCTAGCACACAGAGCTTGTATTTCCTCTCCTCATGTCTCAGTGTGTTGTGTTGTGTTGTGTTGTAGGGGTTCAGCGGAGTTACTGGAGGAGTCAGGGGTCCGAGTCTCCCCTTCAGAGTCCGTGACCTCCATCCCCACCTGCATGCCCTTCTCCTGGTTCGGAGAGAAAGACAAAGAGCGAGACAGAGAGCCATCGTCCTCATCCAGCAGTCTCCCACACACCACTGCAGACGCCAGCGAACACAGCCACAGCTCCAAAAACAAGGTGACAACTACTTCTCTCTCAGAGCACTTCTGCTCCAGGATTGATTCACTTGCGTAGATTAAAACTAGTCCAGATCTATTATAGATCTTCAAAACATAATGACAACGAATTGACTTTTTTGCATGAGAACAACCTTATTTATAAAACACTTCTCTTAAAGGGATAGTTCACCCAAAAATGAAAATTTGATGTTTATATCTGCTTACCCCCAGGGCATCCAAGATGTAGGTGACTTTGTTTCTTCAGTAGAACACAAATGATTAAACATCACATTTTCATTTTTGGGTGAACTATCCCTTTAAGATGTGGAATGTGAATTCTGACATTATTGTCTTGTCATTTATATTGCAGTTCTAGGGCTAAATAATCTAAATATTTGGCACTTTCCACACATATGGTGCAAATGAGTTGATTTTCTCCCTTTCTTTTGGTTATTTCGAGCAAAAAGAAAACATTAAACAAGCACAAAAATCTAACAAAAGTGATCGAATTAAGATATTAGATGTGCTTAAAACTAGATTGTATTCATTCTAAATTAATATGTTGGATAACAGTTCAGTGCCTCTCACAATAAAAGCATGGGCTCTAAAAAAAAAAAAAAGTCAAGGGACACCCCATTATGTTGTATTCATTAAAAAATAAAAGTAGTGTACATGTTTGGGGTCGGTAATGTCTTTGAAATAAGTCTCTTATGTTTACCAAGGCTGGCATTGATTTGATCTGAATTTCAGTGTCACATGATCCTTCAAAAATCATTCTAATATGCTGCATTTATTTGAAATATACATTTTTGGGTAATAATGTAAAAGTATTTACTGTCACTTTTGATCAATTTAATGCATCCTTGCTAAATAAAAGTATTCATTTCTTCTAAAAAAAAAAAAAATCTCACTGATCCCAAAGTTTTGAACAGTGCATGTATGGACTTCTGGTGCTGATCATTTCTAGTTAAACATGAGTCAATGGGAGAACAAACCAGCTTTCTGCCAAACACACGACAAAACTAAATAATAAACAACAAATATCTGGCATCCAGCTGGACTTGCTTTAGTTTGTTTGTAATTGTGAGTTGCTAAGGAGGAAGCCTGCAGCCATATGGATGTGATCTTTCATCCGACTTGAGCCAAACAGACTCGGTCCAGGTGTCAGAAAATGAATTCAGCAGCTCTTTGAGCCCTCTCTGTTTAATCAGCTCCAGCTGAAGCGTGTTTGGGACAGTGACGTCATATTATTTACCCCTTTTCCCGAACAGACAAACCTCTCCTGGTCGTCTCTGTTCAGTCGCTCCTTAGATTTGGTACAGTATGTTTTGTCTTATAAGCGCTCATAGATGTCAGATTTGATTTAGAAATGTAGTGAAATTCTTGCTAAATATCAAACCTCATGTGTCGAGCTTTAATATAGAAGCACAGTAGTGTGTGTGTGTTTGTTGAATGCAATGCACTAGATGCATGATGCTGCTTCCGATTTAATCAGATTTGATTTGTACACTCACTCTTTTTCTTTTCAGCCTTCAAAACATTTTTTTTTTTTTCAAAAAAAATTTCCTTTTATTGTCAAATCAGCATGTAGATGCATTACACTGCTTATCTGGTTTAGTCAACACACTCTCATGGAAATTCATAACTATTTGACATAACTGTTATCTCATTCGTATGTTTTTGTACGATCTACTTGAACCCGAGTGATGGTTGTGTTTATGGGTGGACCTTCATGCTTACTTTTTTTTTTGTAAAAATTAGGGGTGTAACGGTACACAAACATGACGGTTCAGTACGTACCTCGTACCAAAATTATACAATTTCTATTTGTTGTTGAAATAGGCCTATAATCATTTACATAGTGGCTTCATAACAGATTTATTTATTAAACTTACATTAAATAATTAAGACATCACTAACAGGTAAAGTAAAATATAAAGTATATAGTCTAATATTTTGTGAAATGCTCTTTATGTCTTAGGTAAATGTTATGCTACGTTATTGTTTACAAACTGTTTTATTGACGTCTTTCCACGGTTGAAACACTGATTGAGAGATTACTTGAGGCATGAGATGTTCATTCATGTTTATTTCGCATTAAAACTAGTAGTTTTAAGAGGAAGGGCTGATTACGCTCATCAACGCTGCCGTTTGCACTGAGGCGTTTATATGGCGATCTGTCGCGCCACATTAAAGAGCGTCATAGTGGCATTTATTGTTTGAATTTCTTGAATTTAAAGATTTGTTCAGTGCACATTCATGCCGAACCGAAAGACCTGTACCGAAAATTTTATATACGTGTACCGTTACACCCCTAATAAAGATCATGCAAATCGTACAAATTCATATGAAATCTCCACCTCATAAAATAGTTGCGTTTTCATGTGAGATTGGGTTGGGTTTAGTATGTTGCTCTGTCTTGTGCTGTTACAGTATGTTGTAGTTGTCGCTAAAACGTAGTTGTAGGTAGGTGGTGGTCAACCGATATGAGTTATAAATACCCAATATAATGCAATATTAATAGGGCTGGCTTGACAATTTTGATTACACTATTTTAATTGATCTTCATTTTGATGAACCAGCAACTCTATTTTATTTGAGTGTTGATTATGTCATGTCCAAATATAAATAGCGGTTGAATTTTATAGTTTGAACTTGTTAATTTTAACCTTTAATATTATAATAATGTAGCAACTGACACGTTTTCTTGTAAACTTAAGAGCTTTTAGAAATTTAGAACTTTTTTGGTTGAGATATTGTATTCCTTAAAGGAATAGTTCACCCAAAAATTATATATATATATTTTTTTTTAAATGATTTTTGTCATCATTTACTCACCCTCGTGTTGTTTCAAACCTGTATGAGTTTCTTTCTTATGTTGAACATAAAAGAATGTGACCCTGGAGCACAAAAGCACATTGCTAAGGACTTCATTTGGACAACTTTAAAGGTGATTTGTTGCATCCTCAGATTCCAGATTTTCAAATAGTTGTATCTCGGCCAAATATCGTCCTATCCTAACAAACCATACATCAATGGAAAGCTTATTTATACAGCCTTCAGATTATGTATTATGTAAAATTGACCCTTATGACTGGTTTTGTGGTCCAGGGTCACATATATTTTGAAGAATGCTGGTAATCAAACAGTTGATGGGTCCCTGTTGACTTCCATAGTATTTCTTTCCCTACTATGGAAGTCAGTGGGGACCGACAACTGTTTGCTTCTTCAAAATATCTTCTGTTGTGTTCAACATGAGAATGAAACTCATACATGTTTGGAACGACATGAGGGTGAGTTAAATGATGACCATTTTGATTTTTGGATGAACTATTCTTTGAAATTTGCACGTTCTGTAGCTGATGCAGTTTACAACCAAATGAATCAAATCGAGATCAAAATCGGATCGAATCAAGAGCTTGTGAATCTGAATCAAACTGATTCATGAAATCTGTCTCAATATCCAGTGTCAGTACTTTAAAATAATGAATATTTCTATAAGGATAATGTCTACTTGCAGTAGATTTTACCCAAATGTTTGTTGATTAATCAGTCTGGTCAGTGTATCGGTATTTCTAGTCATTTGGTAGGACTGTTGATGATGTTACACTCACTGACAAGTTCTTTTCTCTGAAGCTCATTCTTTTGGTTTAAAGAGCTGAAGCTCCCCCAATCCTTGTGTTTGGATAACAAATCCTGCTCTCTGTGGCCGTTCCAGAGTTTGTCAGTGCTAGATGATTCGAACCCCAGCAGTCCTGCTTCCGATTTTTCTGGGCTGGTGGTGGAGCCCAACCTGTCAGGCCGCTCTCATACATTAACCTTCTCCTCCAGCGAGGTGAGTGCAGATCAGACATGACGCTCTCACCGCCGTTCCTTTGCATGCGTTTCCTCAAGTACTGTCTCGTGCCTCTTCGCTCGTGTCGTTCCTGTGATTTAGTGTGACGCATGCATGCGTGTGCTGATTGTTTGTTTTCATGCGGCTGATCACAGTAGTGTTTGTTTTGCATGACCGAGAGGATCAGATGCATGCTTCGTGTTGCGTGAGATAACATTCACTCCGTCTTCTGAGCACAGAAATCATCCCACATTCATTCATATATTCTACAGTAAGCATTAAATAAAATGATGGCTGTCTCTAGGAGCATGAGATCACCTGGCTGATATGTGTGTGTATTAGATGCTGGATGAGGAGCCTTGTTCTGGAGGGAAGGAGTATCACTGGCAGAACCGTCCCGTCTCTGATTGGACGTCCCAGCAGGTGTGTCATTGGCTGATGGGTATGAACATGGATCAGTACACGCCTGAGTTCAGCACACAGGCCATCGATGGACAGCAGCTCCTCAACCTGGACAGTGACCGACTGAAGGTGAGCTGGATATATTTGGAAGTTTCGAATCTGACATAAACTGGCATTAGTGTAGCCTTAAATGCATGTGTATGTGTTGTAATTAGAAATAGCTTTTTATTTTGGCTTATTTGAATACTCTACATTTTAAAAGTGCATTAAGACCACTGCAAGATGTCGCTTAATTGTATTTTGTCATCTGCTGACACACTCTGTTCTCTGTACTCAGGCTCTGGGTGTTTCCAGTCAGAATGAGCGAGCCACCATCAAGAAGAAACTGAAGGAGATGAAGAAAGCACAAGAGAAGATGGAGAAACAGCGGGAAAAGCGTGAGAAAGAGGCCAGACGCAGCGGACGGCTGCCTGCCAGCACTGACTCGGTGTGCTGATGATGTTCAGAGCATCATCTTTTCCTCTTTTATTCGTCTTCGTTCTTGACGCACTCCATTGGCAGACTGTTTACAACACATATGAGCCATTCTAGAGGAGTCACTATGAGTGAATACGGTCAGTAAGTCATTAATAACAGTCAGACGGTCGAGCTGAAACACTAAGGAAGATCATATTGTACTCTTTTCACTTCAGTCTGTGCAGCACACATATGAGCAGAAATATACTGTTCATCTACAGGTTGTGAATTTACTAAGAAAAGCGTTTACAGATTGAACCCATCTTTAGGCATGTTTCCTTCACTGTAAAAAGATCAGTATTTTGTCTTTTTTTCAGTAAAATATCTCAGCATCGCTAAAACAAGATTAATGTATTTGCATAAGAAAAGACAGATTTTTAGAGAATATACAAAATGTTGTTAAATGTATATTTTTGTTGTCGTTTTTGCTAAAAGCTTACATTTCCAGAAGAAATTGCATTTAATTTAAAATAATCCTCTGAAAGAAAATACATCTGTATTAATGTATCCTAAGAACGTTTAGATCATTTTCCTGGAAAACAAGACAAAATGCTGATTAAGAAAATTACTTTTTCAGTGTTCTGAGTAAGTGAGATATTAGACTAGCTTGTGAGAAAATGAATATGGCGGTCCAATTCATAGCAGACCCAAACCTTTTATTAGTTTTAATTGTATTTTATGATACCACTGTAGGAGCTATAAAAAAAGAAAACTTGCTAAGGGGTATATAAATATTCAGATGCCTATTTTCACAACGTTGCCTCTAATATTGTGGCATGAATAGTGCTTTCAAAAAAGATTTTGTATTGTATTTTAGGAGTACTTCTGGCCTGTGGTGCTAAACGGGTCATTTTGCTGGATCCTTGTACAGCCGAGTAATATTGAGCACTATATTTTTACTGAAACAAAAGGGGAACGTGGTTTATAAATGTACAAATGAAATATTTTATACACTACTATTAGCATAGCTTTAAGGAAGAGACATTAACTTTTGTACACATTTTCTACTAAGTAGAATAGCTTGCTGGTTAAAACCATTTTGCTCATTCTGAAAAGCAGAGAGTTAAACTCAAAGTGAAAGGTGTTTGAACATCTCGTTTGTTGTTTTTATTTGGACGGTTACTGCTTTTATATTATGGATATGGGTCAAAAATACATAACTGTTGCACAGTGTAGCATAGTTTTAGTAGTGGCCATGGCCCAAATTGTATTTGACTAACAGAGGCTGTAATGAATTTAAGTACTGGATAATCATCTGATTGTAAGGAGAGAGTGCTCATGTCATGGTGATTCTTACTGCTTTTATATTATGGATATGGGTCAAAAATACATAACTGTTGCACAGTGTAGCATAGTTTTAGTAGTGGCCATGGCCCAAATTGTATTTGGCTAACAGAGGCTGTAATGAATTTAAGTACTGGATAATCATCTGATTGTAAGGAGAGTGCTCATGTCATGGTGATTCTGTGTCCTGTGGTTATATTTTTCTACCTTGTAAAATAGATGATTTTGAACAGACAAAAATCAAGCTTTCTATCTGGTACAAAGTGCATAAGCTGCAAAATAAATGCTTTCACCTCTTGTAAAAGAAAAGACTGTGTGTGTGTGTTTGTGTGGAGTCCAAAATCCAGCTCACTTCACACTAGAACCATGTTCAAAAAGTAAACATGGATAAAGCCTGTTCAATCAAAATGAATCAATTACCTAGATTCAGATCAAACGCTTTCGAAGCACTGCTTCGTGAAGATTCGAATCCTTTGCGAATCATTTGCTCAGTTCAAACCTGTGATTATGGAACTGCCAAAGTCACGTGATTTCATTAAACGAGCCGCCGTTACGTCATAAACTCTTTCAACATTCCAGTGATTCGCCGCTAGAAGGCGATCTTTGTGAACACATTTGACCTGACCGCGGATCAGTTTTATACATCTGCAGATATTTTTAATTTTTAATGACATTTCTATAAAAGGAACATTAGTAGTTAATAGTCTCTAGTAGCTTAATAAAAGAACACACGGGCTACAGGAACTTAATATTTAATGGTATTTGATTTTGTAAATTGCATTTAGTAGATTACACATTCAATAAAACATTTGCAATGGGTTTGCAAAAGTTGTTTTTACCCACATTTGGGCTGTTTTCGTTGCATTTACACGTTCTGACCAGCAGGCGTCACCAGCGTGTGTCGATTGGAGGCCTTCAAAACAGTGACAGTGTTGCCAATTTAGCAATTTTGTTGCTAGATTTAGCAACGTTTCATACTGCCCTAGCAACTTTTTATTCCAAAAGCACCTAGCAGAAAAAAATAGCTATTTTTAAAATTTATTTGGCAACTTTTGTGACTTAAAATAATAAAAGGAACACATTTTATTCATCTGAATTACACAAAAAGAGGAAACCAGCGATGACAAGCAGTACACGTATCACATGAATTAAGTTAGCTGCTATTTGCAGTTGTTCAATTTAATAATAAGAACAACTATAATTTAATAATTGTTCATTTATGATATACCTTGTTAGTAGCTTGTACCTGTGATTGTTGATCAGTTAGTACAGTGGTTCCCAACCCTGGTCCTGGAGGCACCCCAACACTGCACGTTTTGCATGTCTCCTTAATCAAACACACCTGATTCAGGTCATCGGCTCATTAATAGAGACTCCAAGACCTGAAATTGGTGTGTCAGAGAAAGGAAACATGCAAAATATGCAGTGTTGGGGTGCCTCCAGGACCAGGGTTGGGAACTACTGAGTTAGTACACTGTAAAAAAAAAAATCTAGAAAAATGGACAAGTCAGTAATTTTCCAGGACATTATCCATTATTATTATACAATGCGTAATTTAAAGTGCAGGAAAAACACCTGTAAGAATCAATACGGAAAATTCCTTTACATTAACATAGTAGATTGTGCCCTATTTTTACAGACTTAGATTGTAGCATGCTAACTAACTACCAATAACTACCAATTTAATATTACGCATTTATATTATTTTACGAACAAATATAAATTAACATATATAAAATATTTTTTTGCTAAGATTGATTGCATGATTACATAATGACATAACGCCATTTAGCAACTTTTAGCAACAAATCTACCTTCCTTTAGCAATGTCCCCTGACAATTAGTGGGCAACACTGACAGTGAATCATATCTATCACTACTGTACACTAATGTCTGAATGTCACAATCGCGTCATGAAAAGCATGTCCTACAATGACTGTGTTTGAAAGTGTATAATACGTTTGTCATGAGGCTGCAGTCTCACTGCTATTGTACTCAGTGCTTTATTGAAACAGGATGAGATTCAAACTCCTGAACACTCGTTTAAAACTGGACAATTCATATGCGTTTGTTCCTCTCTTTTTTTTGTCCTTTAAGTGCTTGCAATGTTAATTAGTTTGTTGAAGCTGAACATTTTCTAGTGGTGTGAAGCATTTAACACATTTTTAAACCCTTCACACTACATTCTCACACTTTCTTAAAGGGGTCATCGGATGCCCATTTTCCACAAGTTGATATGATTCTTTAGGGTCTTAATGAAAAGTCTGTAACATAGTTTGGTTAAAATTTTTCAATGGTAGTGTAAAAAACCCCTTTTTTTACCCTGTCAAAAACAGCTCTTTTCAGATCAAAGAAAAATAAATATACTGTATACTGACTTACACATTCAAATGAGTCATGAAACGCATACATAAATAATACACACTCAAAATACGCCAGAAGGACAAAAGCCTAATTGTCTATCTGGGATGTGATGGCACTAGAAACACCTGTGCTAACTTACAATACTGGTAGCACATGCTACAGTGCAAAAAGTTTTCATTAGAACATACTAGAAACATATAGTATTCCAGCATGCTCTTTCATGTATTCCCAGTCTCTTTCGTTACTCTTCTGTCCTGATCGACACGGGGCGGACAGATGAAGCTAAGATGCTGTTTGGGGTCTGCAGAAGCAGGTGCGCTGGTGAAAGGTGCGAGAGGGAGTCTGGCGAGCGCATGCACAGCACAAGCGTTGAGATCAGACTAGAAGCTGCGGAAGGTGGTCATGTCCTTGGGTTCTTTGCTGGGGACACACCAGTCATCCGCTTCATGGATGGTGTTATAATGCTTCCAGGCGGATTTGTTGTAAACGGGAAGCCTCTCAATGGACTCAGTGGACAAAGCCTCCAGGGATTAAAATACATTATTATAAATGGAATCCAGAAATGAGAAAGAAAATAAATCGAGCATTATTTCAGTAAATCATTTCGGATCAATTTCGATAATAATTATTCATATTATTATTATAAAAGTTTTACTGCTGTCAAACGATTAATCGCGAATAATCGCATCCAAAATAAAAGTTTTTGTTTACATAGTATGTGTGTGTACTGTGTATATTTATTATGTATATATAAATACAAACACATGCACGTATATATTTAAGAAAATTGTTGTTTATATATTAAATATATTTATATAAAATATAAGAATATGAATATATAAATGTAAATATTTTCAAAATATATACTGTGTGTGTATTTATATATGCATAATAAATATACAGTACACATACATATATAATGTAAACAAAAACTTATTTTGGATGCGATTAATCACGATTAATCGTTTGACAGCACTAAATAGTTTATAATAACTAGTAACTAATATGTAATAATTTATAATAACAATAATGTTTTCTATGTGAATGTTAAAATGTAACTTATTGCTGTGATCAAAGCTGAATTTTCAGCATCATTACTGCAGTCTTCAGTGTCACATGATCTTCAGAAATAATTCTAATATGATGATTTGATGCTCAGTAAACATTTCTTATTATCAGTGTTAAAAACAGTTGTGGTGCTTCATATTTTTCTGAAGAGCATTAAACTGTTTCTGAGTCTGTTTTAGGACCATTAAACTTGTTTTTGCATTGAGACACACAATTCAAATGTTGGCTTTGTAGTTTTTCATCATATTTTTCCATATTACTGTAATGACATTGACATTTTTTTGCATTGCTGTTAAAGCAATATAAAAAATGCAAAAATAGAATTTAATTTTTTATGCAAATAATTACAGTGGGGAAAATAATTAATTGAGATAGACCCTTCATTTCTTTGTAAGTGGGCAAACTTACAAAATCAGTAGGGGATCAATTAATTATTTTCCCCACTGTATAATAAAAATACATAGATTTGGGAGGATGAAAAGCAGAGGTTATTATATAGGGTTACGTTACAGACAGAGGTACTCACTCTGATATAAATGACAGCATCTGTGCCCTACCAAAATCTGAAGAATGTCTGCCCGAAGGGCTACCAGCGATTTTGAAATTTTGCAAGCCCTGAGCAGTGATAAATTAATAATTTCCAACACGTTTTATAGGCATTTTTACCTTTAAGCCATTTTTTCTAAAAGTGTGCAATGGACCCTACTAATCCGATCGTAATAGGACTAGAAGCACAATCAGAATAAAAAAGTCACGTAAACGTCAATCGGATTGAATTGGCCAGATCCGACTAAAATTTCGATGGGATTGTAAGTTTTGTAATCCGAGCGAGAGGACATGTAAACAACTTGATCGGATTGAAAACCGAAACTGGAAAGTACTGCGCATGCGTAGTGACGTAGAAATAGCATAATGACGTATGACGCGCGGAACGAGCTGTTCTTCCTGGTGAATAAAGTGTCATAAATGAGTGTCCCGTCATTATAAAACTACCCTTTCACTCAGCGTCTGTGAAGTGGAGCAACACAACGTCCCACCAGTACTTGTTTAAGACTATCATCCACAGACGACTGGTTTTGGGTGCAGAAAGGGGCACTTTTACTGCTTTATAAAGTAAGCAGCACAGCTACTACAACTCTTCAGTTTCTGAGCATTAAAAAATGAAACCGAAAGAAAGCGGGACCCTGAGATGCGGACTGTACTGAGAGCATGATCAGATTTCAGAGATGTCACACACTGACCAGAGGAGTGGCTGGAGACGTGTCCATCTGAGGACGAGGTGCAGTGGAGTATGTGTACGTAAACAACCTGTCAATCTTCCTCAGCGGGACTCCGCCTCCACGATCACTGACCTATCACAGAACAACACGGTTCACATTAAACCGGGCTTTACTTTTTTATGGCCTATTATTGATCAAAGAGTCTACCATTACATTAAGTGCAGATTTACACCAGCTTTCAAAAGCTTGGGGTTGGCTGGATTTATTTGATAAAAAATGTATATAAATGTATATATATATTAAAATATAATTTATTTCTGTGATCAAAGCTAAATTTTCATTACTCCAGTCTTCAGTGTCACATGATCCTTCAGAAATCATTCTCATATGCTGATTTGCTGCCCAAGAAACATTTATTACTATTATCAATGTTGAGAACGATTTCTGTGGAAACGTGATTTTTTTTTTTTTTTCAGGATTCTTGGAACAGAAAGTTCAAAAGAACAGCATTTATTTGAAATAGAAATATTTGTGTAACATTATAAATGTTTTTACGGTCATGTTTGATGTTTTAATGCATCCATGCTGAAAGAAAGAAAGAAAGAAAGAAAGAAAACGAAGGAAGGAAGAGTAAAAGAAAGAAAGTGAAGAAAGAGAAAAATAAAGAAAGAACAAAAGAATGAAGGAAGAAAGGAAGAAAGAGAAAAAGAAAGGAAGATAAAAAGAATGAACAAAAGAACGAAGGAAGGAAGAAAAAGAAAAAGAACGAAAAGAATGAAGGAAGAAAGAAAGAACGAACAAAAGAATGAAGGAAGAGAAAAAGAAAGAACAAAAGAATGAAGGAAGAGAAAAAGAAAGAAAGAACAAAAGAATGAAGGAAGGAAGAGAAAAATAAAGAAAGAACAAAAGAATGAAGGAAGGAAGAAAGAACGAAGGAAGGAAGGAAAAGAAAAAGAAAGAAAGGAAGGAAGAAAGAGAAAAAGAATGAAGAAAGAAAGAACGAACAAATGAAGAAAGAAAAAGAAAGAACAAAAGAATGAAGGAAGGAAGAGAAAAAGAAAGAAAGAGAAGAAAAAGAAAGAGTCCAGCTGGCTGTTTGGTGAAGTGAGGTGTCACCACAGATCTGACCGCAGCGGTCTCTCGGACTCTGTACCTTCACAGTCAGGTCCTCGTGGCCCAGGACGATCTGCACATGCACTGGAGGATACTCCATGGCGTCTTCGTAAAGCTCCATGGTGGCGCGCATGGCATTCTGCAGGAGTCACACAACATATTTATAGCTCAGCCCGCTGCTGCTCACCTAAAAGAGCAAAGCCATTCACTGCACATCATGAGACACAACAGCAGACGTGATCTAAAACTCATATTAACACTCTACTCAGAACTCCGGGCAAATATTCTCTCCAGATGAGTGCATACTTCAATATTTCAGCAGTGAGAACGGAAGCACAGCACCTTAAAGAGCTCAAACACCATGTGGTACAGATGAGACGGCACATACACCACAGCAATGGGGTTATCAGGCCCTTTAACTGCAGCGGAGACACAAAAGAAACAGCACTCACACTTCATGTGGAAAGCTGATGGTTTACTAATCATTCATTCAGTCTTGTAGTAAATGTGCGTGCAGCAGGAAGTTACCGTTAAATTCTTCCAGTACTAACTCAGGTGAGTTCATATAATACCGGTCGCAAAGGTTTCGGGCATTTTCATAAGCATCTGAAATACAGTAACGGGAAAAGGTTGAAATATTGAACAGGAAAACTGATGTTTTATAGATTCTGAAGAAAATATAAATGGCGCTCGTCAAGGGAAAAGTTGCTGTCGTGATTCTAGTGTGTTGTGGCTGTGTGCCAGAGCATTGCTACATTGTTTCTTAACGTGTTTTGGGTGGTTGCTAGGGCATTCAGATCATATTTCAACTCAAAACTCATAAATCAATCAATCAATATGGCTTAAATGAAGTCTACAAAGCACTCCTTTCCCCATTTTCATTACTGTACTGCAGAAAAAATAATGAAAAATTTTAAATGTATTCATACATTTAATCACGGTAACATTGGCTCTACTGAATTTAATTTATGCTGACATAAACTTTTTATCAAATTCTCATTACTGTATTGTGTCTAGATGTTTTACTTTTAAGGGTTGTTTTTTTGCTGTTCTTAGTGAAGTTTCTTATAAGTTATAAATTACTGCATAAATGATATATTACTTAAATTGTGTTCATATTGTGTTGCTCTTTTGTTGATTTTGATTGCTTCTATTGTCCTCATTTGTAAGTCGCTTTGGATAAAAGCATCTGCTAAATAACTAAATGTAAACATAAATGTAAAAAAGTATTTTTTTTTAAAATGAGAATTTTGAGGGAACATTTTCTTAATTGTCAATGCCTCGTTAATAAAAAATCTTTAATTACTGCTGCATGTTTATGAGATGGATAGATCACTGTCACCTTTCACGACATCAGTGACACAACAGCTGGGGTCAATGCTGCCGATCTGTTTGGGATGAGCAGGATTGTCACGTATCTTTCCTCCAAACAGAAGAGCTGGAAACACACAGACATGACACAGACAGACATCTTACTGGTGGTGAAACAACACAGCTCGATGTTTACTGGCTGACCCATCAATCCATGATATCTGGGAAACTTGTAAACATGCTGCTAATCCAATCTACACGTTCCAGAAGCCCCATTCATCGGACTGTGCATTTCTGCTGTCCAGCATGGAGCCCATTATAAAGCATCATGTGTGTGTGTGTGTGGGTCTCACTGTGCTGGTTCAGGAGCATTCTGATGGAGATCCTGCTTATGTAGAACCGGTCCAGGAAGTACTGGATGTTCTGGCTGGAGACCGGGTCGGTCCCGTAGGTCTCCTTGTATTCCACCACTCCTTGAGCCATGGTGGGCACATCATTGTGACGGTTCCTGATCTTAATCACAGCATCTGTGAAGCTAAAACAACAGAAGTGAGTGTGTGAGTTTGAGTGTGTGTGTGTGTTAGCACAGGTAGGACTGGAAGGTACAGGTCTTCATGGGTCCACTTGGATTGGGACTCAAGTGCATTTGGGTTCAAAACTTAGACGGGTGCTTTAGACACGGGTCGGGTCTGATATTAGTAGCCTCGGGTTTGGGATCATTTTTAATAAATGCAATTTTATCAAATAGTCCCCAGTTATTTTAAAACATGCCAACCTTTCACTTCTCATTTTGAGCATTTAGCAATATTTTATTATTCAAAACAAATGCATATCAAGAATTCTATGATATTATTATTATTATTATTATTATCCCCCTTCTTCTCTGTCAATTCATGCTTCTGTGTAAATTACCAAACACTACAAATACAGATGCATGCAGCAGCAACATGTGATGACATGTTTCCATAGTTATTAATATTGTAAATCTAGCAAACATTAGGAGTTTTTTTTTTATTTAGTTAGCATTAAATTACAGAAAACTGGTTAACACTGCTGCATGAGTGTTTCTAATGCAGTGATGTCAAATTTGACATCTTTCTTTCATTTGACCAACATTTCATAATATAAAAATAAGTTTATATATATTTAAAATTTCTGAAATTAATTAAAAAGTTATATTGAAATTTTCTTCTAAAATTAGCATTTTCATCAGGCTCATATGTTTGTTCAGTTATTTCACTTTAATGGCAATGAAAAGAACCAATCAAGCCTGATAAAATTGCTCATTTTAGAAGAACATTTCTAATGGCACTTAGAGGCTTTTGCATCTGAACTCTTCATATGTATATATAACTATACTTTGTGTTAGAATACCATGGCATTAAATTACAGAAATGCTCTTGGGTATATATTGTAGTTATATTTGTTGTAGTAGAGTTAGATGCTAACCCAACTATGAAGACTTCTGTTTCTGAGAACCCTAGTAATTTGAAAGGGTCCATCCTTAGGACCCAAGAAGACCTCTACTAGAAGGTGTTTGATGAATCTTACTCTTGTATGAGCATTTCATCATCAACATCCCTGTCCTTGAACTCCAGTATATCCTGGAAGCTGTGCATGTACCTGCAGAGATGCAACACAACCACAGAACGTAGCTTACATATGCACACATATCAGAATAATAAGACTGCATGTGTGCATTCACACCGACCAGCTCTGCACCAGGCGCACTGAAGGAGTTCTCAGAAGATTATCAGGCAATAAATCTATCTCCTTCATTATATTTGCCAGCCTGACAGGCAGTTCCTGTCTTAGAAACGTGAATGATGTTTTCGCACATGCATTCTCTGAACCTGCAGAGGAAAAATGTAGAGAGACATCATCATTGAGTTTTGGTACATGCACTGATTCTATCCAGCATTACACTGATGCAATAGTTTTATGGCATCTTTAGTTTTCTCCTTTCACTCATTTTAGTTAGTAGGTTTTAGTAATTTTGTTGTGTTTTATTTAGTTGTTTATTTCCTTTTTATTTTAGTTTATTGGGTTATTTAAACCTTGAACTAAATGAAAATTACATTTTTTAGTTATAATATGTAATCTCCAACATTCTTTTTCTGAACATTCTTCTCTATTCGAATCCATTTAAAATCGTCACGGTAATGACATTTTTAGATATTCCGACTTTTAGACTGGGCTTTTTTGATTCGATTCTTTTCTGCTTTAAGGTTGGATCTCTTTGATTGTATTCTACACCACTTACAAAAATACCATGTTACATATAATAAGTAGCATGATTTTCTCATCGGGCACTGTACAATAGTACCTCCATGGCACTTTTTGTAGGGGACTGATTGTTTATTCTTTTCTAGTACTACTCTCATACTGAACTGTATCCATCTGATCCCAGACTTACCAAAATCTATGAACTGCTTCATAGAGAGAGGAGAAGGTGAGAATCTGGAGTAAAAGTCGATTTGTTTGGCGATGGATGCAGCGTTCAGCAAAGTCCTGAAGATCCTCATATTGGCGGCTTTTGCGGTTTAACTCTTCAGAAAATCCAGAAAAATGTGTCCTGTTGGCTTTCTAAGCTCATATTTTCTTGTCCAAACCCAATCAGCAGAAAACTGCGTACTTGTTTCTCGAAGTATGAAGTTGAATGTCAGTCATGTTCGCACATGCAGCGTTTCATTCAAAACCAGTGACATCCAGAGCAGTTTTCACGCTTCTGTATCACTCAGTAGTGACACTGCAATCATTATATACATGACTGTTGTGAATCCCGATGAGTATGAGCAGCCAAGCGCGTGTGTGTGTGTGTGTGTGTGTGTGTGTGTGAACTCATGTGATCCGCAGGAGCATCAGTGAACGCTGGGCCTGTCACCGCAGTTAAAGACCGCGGTCAAGCCAGCCGCCACCTGGATTCCGCTGCACGTCTGTTTGTGGTATTACGGTACGGATACACGAAGCGGCCAAAAAGCTGACGAAGACCTTCTTCTTCTTCTTCTTCTTTGAGGTTTAACGGCGGCTTGCATCCAAGAGCGTTGCATTACCGCCACCTTCTGGATTATTCTCCTGCAATGTTATTCCATTTTATTTCCTCCAGCTTGTTTTCCACAATCATATTTTCCTCATCAAACCCGTTCTACTTAAGAAATTACAAATATTTTTCCTGCTTTGTCTAATCACCCCACTTTGCAGTATATCTTTAATACCTGTCCCTACCAACCCATCTCTTCTTAATTCTTCCATCATATTTCTCCTCTGATCTTCATAACTTCTGCAACTTAAAAGAACATGTTCTATGGTTTCTAATGTCTGACAATATTCACAAAAACCAGTAGGATGCTTCCCTATAATGTGTAATGTACTATTTAAATGACTGTGTCCTATTCTTAATCTTGTCATCACTATTTCTTCTCTCCTAGTCCCTCCCCAATTCCTCTCTGTACCAACTTTATTTTGAATGGCATACAAATGTCTTCCTTTAGCTTCCCTGTCCCACTGCCGTTGCCATTCTCTCATGGCTTCTTTCCAAACTATACTTTTCCCTTCAGATTTTGACATCTTTATATGTACTTCAATATTCTCTTTTTTAATTGCTTGTTTAGCTAATTTATCCACTCTCTCATTGCCCAAAATGCCTATATGAGCTGGGGTCCAAATCAGTCGAATCTCATTACATTTTTCCTTTACTCTTGTATATGTTGTTAATATTGCATATAACAGGTCCTGACGGCTATTGGACATACCTGTCCTGAGACTGTACAGTGCTGACAATGAATCACTTCCAATTAAAACTTTACTCATTTTGTCCTCCTTTCTAATCCATTCTAATGCCATCATGATAGCATATAACTCAACTGTATACACGTTCAGATCATTCGTGGTTCGTTTGCTTTCCTCACCTCCTTGATTAACTATAAAAATTGCTGATCCAGTCCGTTTCAGGATCTTTCGACCCATCTGTATAAATCTGAATATAGTCTCTGTATTTATCATCCACATATCTGTAGTATTCAGCTACAAGGTCTATACTATTGTTTATCGTTTTGATTTGATGTAATTCAAAATCAACTTCCATGGTTTCAATCTTCCATACTGGAAAGTCAGGCCATACAATAGTTGGGCAGAACTCTTTTTCACTCACCCCCAAATCTCTAGCTGTCTCATCTCCTATCCATCCAAAACTAAACTTTGGCGCCCTTTCCTTTTCCCAGCTAGCTTGCAGTACCCTCTTAGTAGGATGCCCATCTCTATGTCCCTTTAGATTAATCCAATAATTTACCAGCAATTGTTTACGTCGAATATTCAGTGGCATTTCTCCCGCTTCCACTTGTAGTGCACATACTGGTGATGTTTTTACTGCTCC